ATTATTTCTAAATTATACATTTTGATTTTCTTGAATTTCCACAAAAAGGCTAGCTTTAGCATATTATTGTTGTGAACCGCTTTCAATAGTGGCAGTCAAATTTCATGATTTATTTTCATCAGGTCCGCTTTCTTCTGGTTCTGTAATGATGAACGCGGTAAGGTCAAAATGCTGAATCCTGAATATGGCGTAGGTGATATAGCTAAGGAATTAGGCAAGAAATGGTCGGACGCAGATCCCGAAACCAAATCCAAATACGAGGCTATGGCAGAGAAGGACAAGGCTCGATATGAAAGGGTAACGTGTCTAAATTTAGCACAACTTTACGCTTTTAACCATTAAGACTTCTAACTGGCCTCGTAACTGCAACTATATGCAACATCAAAAACTAAAAGTCATGAATTATCTTATATCAGAATATATATATTAATCTTTTTTTCTATACATCTCTTGAATCATCTTTGTTTATGAGTTTGAACAAATTTATAAGATGAATACTCAAACGCTTTTGAAGCAAAGATAAGACACCCTTTTTTCCCCTCGCAGGAAATGACCGCGTACAAAAAGAAAATGCAAAACGACGGTGCTCCGATGGTGGGAGGAGTGCAGGCGAACCAAACTGTAATAAAAAGCGACAGCGAAGAGGAGTGGAAGGAAGGAGACGACGAATAGCGGATGCACGTCGAAATTTCTTCATCTATCACCCCGTGTCCTTCATCCTGAAAGCATACCTCACCTACTGTACGTACCATTGACCTTAGCGTGAGCGTACTTACACCACCATTACTAGGAGAACAAAGCAACTAACCACCAAGCAACCTACCAATCAACCAAGCTCTTCAACAAATCCCCACCAATCTCTCCTAATTCTTTCCCCGATTATTTACGATAATGATAAAGTAATCCGCGCTAATTATGGTAATTATTTTAAAAGGAAAAACTGGTATGCGTGAGTGGTGCGCGAGCATGAGCGAGCGAGGATCATTGTGTGAGTGAACATTTGTACTTTAACATATTGATAGTAACGATCATGTAAAGCGGCTAGTAGGATAGCGGAAGATAATGAAAGAAAAAAAGAAATCAGAATCATGAGTAAAAAAGCAAAAGCGGAAGAGATAAGGCGGCGGCGCCAAAGTGCCCGATACTTTCTCTATCCGGATGGAAGGCGCAGGGGCTCAATCATTGTTGACTTTTTGCCCGTCGACGCTATATTACGAGCTATGTAGCTTAGTTTACTAATGACGAAACGCCGCGATAATGACGGCCCCGTTAGCGCGGGGATCGGAGATGTTAATTCCTTTTATCGTGTCCTTTCGGATTTTTTTTATCCGAAACATGCGGAGATCGTCCTCTTTATCTTTTTTTTCA